GCGGGGCGCCTCAGGGTGGAGGGGGGGCGGGGAGCTGCCACAGGGCTGGCGGGGGGGCGCAAGGTGGAAGTTTCGCCTAGGGCGCGAAACTTCCTTGCACCGGCCCTGGCTGTAATATCATATAACAAAAAGGACCCATGTAAAAATAAAACCAGACAGGATTATGTTACCCAAGAAGGATTCCTTTCCCATGTGACCTACAGCTTAGCTATATGAGAAAGTTGCAACATTTTAACTTAAATCCATTTTAAATCTGGGTTAGTTAAACCGGTGCAGGCCCCTGTGCAGACATTCTTATTCTGGTTGAAGAATAGCTTGTTTGGGTTTATCTGGGTAAATTCCCGAAACTTAAAAACCAAAATAATTGCTATCAAATGGGCATAAGGCAGCCCTGGTGCAAAAGTGTCCCCCCCGTTATAAGAAGCACCCTGACAACCACAAACCTGAAAATAAACAGCCCGATTAAAATGAATGGATTTTACAACATGGCCATAAAGTCTTGTCCTGCAGTGACTCCATTCAGGCAATCCACTGAGGGTAACGCTGCCATACATGGATGCAGGATGAAGGCCTTAGACCCTACTGCCCAGCAAACCAATTCCAAGGGCTTTCTCACCCTGGATGTCACTGCTCGCAGCAGTTCAGGACCCATACTGAGAGCATTCCACTTGGCCATAACCACTGTGACATACGCATTCAGGCCCTCATCCTGCAATGATCTGTCAAACTACGGGTTGTCTTCAAGGTTAGCAGTCCAATGGGGTACCCAAGGGAGGCTGAAAGACTGTCTTAGGCCCCAATTTTTCATTACAGATCCACTAGTGCAGGTGATTGCAGGATCAGGGCCAAATATGTTCTCCCAAACTCTCTGCCTCTGCTAACCAAAAAGCCACGCACAGTACGACACAGATCACACCGAAGTCTTTAGTGCTGGGCTCTTTAAGGGAGTAAGATTGATTTGGGTTGGTCTGGGAGAGCACTGCAGAGAAAAATCACCTGTTAATCACTTTTACACACACACACACACACACACACACACACACACACAGTCTTCTGACCAAAGAAAAGCACTTACAGCCTTGGGAAAACAGCAGCTACTGTCACGACTGGCTAGAAGTCTCAATCACCCAACTCGTCGCTGTATGAAAAAATGACAAAATGATCACTGAGTGGCAGGTTTTCACTAGTGAATTAGCATTCAGTCTGCTCCGCAAAACATTTAAGAGATACACAGCACAATGCAGCATGGCTTAATCCTTCTGTAAGGCTGGGCATCAATAAAACACGAAGGAAAGCGTCAAGAGGGAGTGAGAATCAGGAAAAAAAGTCAGCCTTCTGCATGGGGGAGTATTAGAGATGGGTTGAATTGGCACCATCAGTTCCTGGAAAAGTCAGAGGTTTAATGCCCCAGATCCCATTAAGTACAGAAGGAGAGATTCAAATGAGCACTTGATCCTTTCTATTAACTGTTCTGACAAAGCCGTGACCTCCAAGCCTCACACAAAGGAGACAGAGCTTAGGCCACCAGCCCCAGAAAACTGAATCACAGAATTTCCGGCGAGTAGGAGGGGCAGACTCGCATTTATAAAAGCCCCAATCAATATAGCATCTATTCCTCAATGACACAGAAGGCAAAATGTTGGCAATACAAGGGTTAGCGTTTCTTGCTACTCCCATCAGTGTGTCTAAGTGAAGATCTAAAATACTCCTCATCTGCCTTCCTCAGGCTGATTCCAACCCAGTAATTTATTTGTTAAACCCCTAAGCAGCAAGGAGGCAGGAGACGAATTTCATCAAGGTTGTGGAACCATGCACAGAGGTAACCAGTGTCCTAATTGGCAATAACTAGCAAATGATTTACCAAAAACAATAAAACAAACCAGAGAGTTACCGAGGCAGAGATGGGGAAGTGTATTTCCTTAGGTGAGACCTAAGGAAAAGTTACCTTAGAAGAGGGGTATTTCTTGTAACGTACACCACACGCACAACCTACACATAAATAACTTTGTCAGGTAGCCGAGGCGTAGCCGTGTGAGACTGTATCCACAAAAATAACGAGGAGTCCGGTGGCACCTTAAAGACTAACAGATTTATTTGGGCATAAGC